TAGTAAGTGTCTGAGGCTGAATTTGAACTCAGGAAGAGCAGGAGTCTTCTTGACTACAGGTCTGGCGTGTCACCTAGCTGCCCTGCTATGTGCCATGCCCTGTGCTAAGCACTCCAAAACAAATGTAGTCCCTTCCCTTAAGGAGCTGAAAAGCTGGAGGCCGAGGGACAGAGGAGGTACCTTCATGAGGACGTGAAGAGTCAGTCGTACAGCCTAGAGAGGAAAGAAGGAGTGAGTATGGCAGGCCTGGGTCCTTTCCTTAAATGGCAGCTCTGGAAGGAACTGACGCAGGAAGGGAAGGGGCTGCAAGGGCAGGGTGATCTCTCAGGAAGAGAAGGCTGCTGAGACGGCGTAGAGCAAGAAGTCCAGAGAGTCAGGGGAGGAACCTGAAGAAGAATGAAGGAGACTCTGTAAGTGGACTGGAGGACCTCTGAGAGGCAGCTCAGTCCTTCCTGCTGTGGTGTATCTCTTTAGAGTAGGATAACAAGGTGGCCCCCAAGCACAGAAAGAGGGAGTTAGCTCCAGATCCAGCGCGTATGGGGTTAATTCTGCCTGTGCCCTCTTCCCAAACTGAGCCCAGTCAGCTCAGTCATCTGGATTACTTATTAACCTCCCCATCAGGAACTGCCTGTTGTGAGTTTTCCTCCCTCCTGCTTAATTCAGGGAACATGGAGTGACTTTGGTGGGTATAGGCCCTTTGCTGTGGACATCATCAAGGCAACAGGGATATATGGCAGGATTCCCGACCTCAGAGGGCTTACAGGCCAGTTTGGGTGAGGAGATAAGATATACACACAAATAACTCTTGTTTGCAGTAGTGTGTGATGAGGGTCATATCGAGTGCTGTTGAGATTCAGAAGGAGGGATCCCTTGTCATTTGGGGATTAAAACTGAGGAGGGCTTCATGGAGGCAGTGGTATTTGGAGCTGCACCGGCAAAGATTGGTAGTATGTATTTCATTGGGTAGAGATGTAGACAAAGGAAATTCTAGGAGGTGCCAACATCATGGGCAAATGCCCAGAGGTAGGTTGTGTTGAAGGAGCAACAGGTAGTTTACCTGTAGCAGACTAATTTTAGGGCAGTAGTAGAAGATGAGACTGAGGTCATAGTGTTCAAGACCTTGAATGTTGGGTTAGAGTTTGTACTTACCCGGGAGAGTGAGAGAATCAGAGCAGTAGCTGACTTTAGGAAGGTCGGTTGAGGAGAGGCATTGTGCATAATAGATAGGAGGAGACTGGGAATAAACCACATGGTTCTTTAAGAAGCTGTCTGTCCCTCCTCCAGCTTTGCTGGTGGGATTGGGCCCTGGCCTAGGAGAAGTCTTAGAGATTCATGGCATTTCAGAGCTGAAAAAGTCCTTAGACATCCTATGAGTTCATGTGGGATGGCCCCTCTGCAGCCTCCCTGCTCCAGGAGGGGTGTGGGCTCTTGGCTGACTCCCCTACCCACCCCCATCACACCCCATAAAAGCCGTCCTTTCTTTCTGTCCCTCTGCTGCCTGTCATTTTCCTTCCTATGAGCAGTTCAGCTCAGAGGCACTGCCATTCATTGTTCTCTGGGGCCTCAATTATGCAGCTCACCAGCTCCAAGGGCTGCTGACAGGCCCAACGCCCCAAGCCAAATACTTCAAACCTTGTTAGAGATAGAGAAAGTGTGCATAAAGGAGCCTGGTACCCCCTTCCACAGTCCACATGCCTCCTTCTGGGTCCCCATGAAGGTAGCAATGTATTTTCATTTGTTTGTTTTTTAAAAAGAAATTCTTGTCCCAATAGCTCAGAGACACCTGTCCTTCCTAACTGGAGCTGCATAAATTCAGTGTACCTTGGCCTCCCTCTTGTACCTGGCAGCTCTGACCCATCCGAGGTCCCCTTCCCATAACCCTCTGTCATCCACCGGTCCTGCCTATGGGTCTCCTCACCCGGCACGACCTGCATGGGTACAGTGAGAGAGTGAGTGGCATTCCTTTCGGCCATTGGTGAGAGGCAGAACCCCACATTCCAGCACCATGACGACAGCTTGCTTCCCGCTTACAGGTCTGTAGGCAGAGTATTTAGATGGAGACAATGGGGCACTGTTGAAACGCCACTGCTGTGCTATCGCAGAATGAATTTTAATTGAATTTTTTCACCCTGAAACTCAGGGCTGTGGTATTCATCTCCTCCTCATTTCCCTATTTTCCCACCCCCAAATTGAGAGAAAAAAAGTAAAGTCTCTTTGTCCTTTTCCCCCCCCCCCCCCCCCCCCCCCCCCCCAGTGTTTTTTTCTTTTTTCTTTTAATTCTAGTGGTATTTTTGGAATAGATGATGGATCTTGGAGTACTCAAGGCAGGCAGAACCAGGGATTTTTGTTTCATCAATATCATAATGGCATGATGGGTGGTGGGGAGAGTGGTATTGATGCCAGTACTAATGGGCCCAGGTACTTGACACCTAGTAGTGAAAAGAGTTGACAACTCCTTCGGCAGAGCTGGCTGTGAGATCAGGATGGTAGTGGCCATATCAGCGAAGTCTCCTAATTCTAAGGTTTTTCTATAATTTTGGAGTTCCAAGAGTCATTGGTCTTAGTCTGGCTATGTCTCTGAGAACTGAACTGTGGTTCTGGGATTTTTAAAAACCATATTCACCTTCCCTGTGCTTTTTAGACATCATGCTCATAGTTTGAGGCCCAGGGCAAGTCAGAGGAAGGGGGGAGGGGGATGGTTAGAACAGAGGATTCTGAAAAGTGAAAGTTGTCACTGAACCAGCCAGGAGCACAAACCTGGGTGCTCACACCTCAGTAGGGAGAAAGGGGCGGGGTTGGGTGGAGCTAGGTGAGACCACTTGCCATCTAACCTGAAAATTCCCTAAAGAACAGACTTCCCCGGACCAGGAGAGAATTGAATTCCACCTAGCCCATTTGTCTGTCTCAGCAGTAGCCTGATAATGAGAACAACGCAACTGAGCTACCTTCTCCTGCGGCCAGGGCCGAAGCCAGGACCCAAAGCTGTGATGAAATGTGTGTTTGCATAGTCTTTGTGGGGCTGTGTAGACAGAGAGAGCTAGGGGACACACACACACACACACACACACTTTGGCCTCTGGGAGCTTACTGTCTCTGACACGTTGGTTCAGATATTGACAGTTTAAAATAATAGACCATCATTTGGCCAAAGTAAGAAAATACTGTCACATGCGCAGAATAAGAATATTTTAGAAATACCAACTTTCACTTTTCAGAAGGAAAAGGCATAATTGCAAGGGGCATTAGGCACTGAGGGCTCCCAAGTCTAGGCAAGGAGCATTGGGGAAGCAATTACTTTTATCTAGCTCAACCTTGGAAGCCTCCTTGGAAGAAGTGGAGTTTGGGGACCAATGGGAATTTGGAAAAGATTATGGGTGGGTCCTGTCTTAGGAGCATGGACCTTCTCCTTCAGGATACACTCTTTTCCCTTGGTTTCTGTGATGTTGTGCTCTCTGGGTTCTCTTACCTATCAGTCTTACCTTCCCAGTCTTCTTTTCTGGATCTTCATCTCTCTTCCCTAGGCATGGATGTCCTCACTGCCCTCTCCCTTGGTGAGCTCATCATTTCCTACTGATTCCGTGGTCTTCTCTACACAGATGAAATTCTGTCCTCTCGCTTGAATCGTGGTGCATCATCAACAACTCACAGACAGACATTTCTACCCAGGTTCCCTGTTGGCATCTCGAATACAAAATATTCCAGACTTCCTTTTCCCGACTAAAGCTACCCCTCCAGACTTCTGTCGAGGCACCAAGATCCCCGTCTCCTCTCCGCCTCTTCTCCGATCACTCTGGTTCACAACCTCAGAGACATAGTTGCTTCTTCTCTCTCTCCTCACCCCACATACCTGGTAGGTTTCTGAGATTTAGCTACTATTCCCATGTGATGTGACTTAGCCAGACTGAGTGTTTAGGGAAGGGTAAGGAAAAGATAATGAACAGATTAATCCTGGTCTGTGCCTTTCAAGAGGGCTGACTATGGCGTCTGAAGCCATCCCTCCAAATGTATCTAGAGATTCTTTCCTCATCTTCTCCATCTTCAACCACATCATCATGCCAAGGGGGCCCAGGATCTAAGATATAGCCTGCGGTCCAAACTCAGGAACTAATTATTTCTTCTCCCCTAAAGGAACAGCTTCTGTAAAAGCTCTACATAGCTGCCACTTCTATAGTGTATTTTCCTCTTGGATACCTTTGGTATGGTATGTCACTTGTGGGGACTCAGGATATTAAGATTAAGAATTACAGAATCTGAATTATCCAGGATTGTCTTCTGCAAGGCCTGCTTGCTTTAGGTAATAAAGCATTGGGTTATTGCCTTAGACTATATTATCTTTCTTCCTCCCACTCATAAGCTTATAGATCTGGAAAGGACTTTGGGGGAGGTAGCAACTGAGGCTCAGGAAATGACAATGATTTGCCCAAGGTCATGCAGTTGGTGGGATTTGAATCCACCTCCCCTGACTCCAGAGCCAGTGTTCTTTCTAAAGCATCACTCTGCTTTGATGTCAGAAATAATGTGTTGCCTTGTTTTTGATCAGGAAGGTTGGTGTGCAATAGGCAAGACTATAGCAAACAGGGCGCCTCCCCACATCATGTGTCTTTTCGTCCTTGGGTACTGGCAAACCCATTTTGCAGATGGGTCTGCTTCTCTGTGAAGGCGCTTAACGGATCCTCCCAAATGTAGACAAATATTGGAGGCCAGTCAGTATCAGTGAGGCTCTTGGCTGGAACTTCAGATGACAGTAACAGATAGAGAGGCTATAGTGACTCATGTCTCAAGGATCAGTCCTTGGCCCTTTTCTAGTCTATGTTCTTATCAAAGACTTGGATGAAGCCACAGATGGCATGCTTATCACATTTGGAGATGTTAGTAGTTAGTCAGTGCTTTGGAAAACACTCAGGATCCAAAAAAAAAAAACCACAAAAAACCTCAATGAAATAGAGTTGTAGATTGAATCTAATAAGGTCAAATTTAATTTGATTTTCTTTTAATTTCAGATTTGCTTCCCCTTGACTCTACCGCGATACATAATACTTAGTCTTCCTTAAAGGATGGAACAGTCGAGCAAAACCAACCAATAAAGTGACCTCATCTAACAGCATATGCAGCATTTCCTACCAATAACTCACCACCTCTCTGCCACAAGGATGGAAGTGTGTTTTGTCACCCATCCTTTGGGATCAAGACTGGTCATTGCTTCTAATCCAGATTCTGATACAAAATGAAGTTAGAGTCTTATACTAAGATTTTTTTTTTTAAACCAGCTTTATTCCAAGGAAATCTAGGCATGACTAGACAGCAATTTGGTGAAAGATCTAGTGGAAGGAGTTTAGTGGACTGGAAGCTCAATGTAAGACAACAGTATTTTTGGATGGGTAATGTTCCAGGCTATAGTTAGAGATGTGGCGTCCACATTGGGAGTGGTGGTGGTGAGCAGGTGGTGGGATTATGATAGATTCACTGACCTCTGTCCCAGTCAGATCACATCTGGAGTATTGTATTTAGTCCTTGGTGTGACATTTTTTTACTTGTTATTTAGCATTTTATTTTTCCCCAGTTACATGTAAAAACAATTTTTAACATTCATTTTTAAAACTTTGAGTTCCAAATTCTCTCCCTTCCTCCCTCCCCACCCCCCTCATTTAGAAGCAGGCAATTCAATACAGGTTATCTATATGTAGTCGTGGAAAACATTTCCATCATGGTCATGTAGTGAAAGAAAACATGAACCAAAAAAAAAATGACCTTAAGAAAATTAAAGAAAGCTTGAAAAGTATGCTTCAATCTCTGTTCAGACACCATTGGTTCTTTCTCTGGGGACAGATAGCATTTTTCATCATAGGTCTTTTAGAGTTGTCTTAGATCATTGTACTGCTGAGAATGGTGAAGTCATTGACAGCTGATCATCTTACAATATTGCTGTTACTTTGTACACAGTACATTTCACTTTACATTTCAGTTTATGCAAATCTCTCCAGGTTTTTCTGAGAGCATCCTGCTCATCATTTCCCGTAGCACAATAGTATTCCATCATAATCACGTACCACAACTTGTTCAGCCATTCTCAATTGATAGGCATCCCCTGAATTTCTAATTCTTTGTCATGAGAAAAGAGCAGCTTTAAATTTTTTTGTGCATATAGGTCTTTTCCTTTTTTGTTTTTTCATCTCTTTTGGGATACAGACCTGGTAGTGGTATTGTTAGGACAAAGGGCATGAATGGTTTTATAGCCCTTTGGGCATAGTTTCAAATTGGTTGAATGGTTGAATCCATTCACAACTCCACCAACAATGCATTAATGCCCCATTTTCCCCATATCCCTTCCACCACTTGTCATTTTCCTTTTCTGCCCTATTAGCCAATCTAATAGGTATGAGATAGTATCTTAGAATTGTTTTAATTTGCATTTCTCCAATCAATAGTGAGTTAGAGTATCATCTGAAAACTGTTCATATCTTTTGATCATTTATCAATTGAGGAATGGCTCTTATTTTTATAAATTTGACTCATTTCTCTATGTTTGAGAAATGAGGACTTTATCAGAGAAACTTGCTTCCAAATTTTTTTTCATAGTTGCTATTGCTAACTGTATTTCCCTCCATCCTATTTCCGCACCCCCCCCCCCATTTATTCTATTCTCTCTCCTTTCTGGCTGTGGCATTTTGAAAGGAAAACTGACCACAAGCTGGAAAGGGAGAAGGATCAGAAGGTCCATAAGGAGCCATGTCATATGAGTATGAGAATCACAGGAAGGAACTGGGGATACTTAGTGTGGAGAAGAGAAGATATGCGTGTGTGTGTGTGTGTGTGTGTGTGTGTGTGTGTGTGTGTGTGAGTGTGTGAGAGAGAGAGAGAGAGAGAGAAAGAGTGTGTTTGCAGAGCTCTCTTCCATACATCATCCCATGTGATCTTCACAACAGCCTGGTGGGGCAGGTGCTCCAGGTGCTCTACCAGTTTTACAAATAAGGACCCCAAACCTCAGAGATTTCAAGGGACTTGCCCAGGGTCACACTGATCATAAATGTTGGGATTTGAAGCCTGTTCTCCCCTAAGTCTCCCAACTCTGAGTCTAGTGTTCTTGTCCCTAGGCCCACCACACTGACATAATCACTACCTTCACATATTTGGGCATGAGCCCAAAGGATTAGATTTCCATTGCTTGGACCCACATGTCAGGACCAGGTACTGTGTGGAGGTTTGCCAAGAGGCAGATTTCACCTGGATGTAAGGAAAAGCTTCCCAAGAGGTGTTAAAAAATGGAATGGACTGCCTTGAGAGGTGCACATTTGCTAAAGTGATTTTTCCTTAAGTGTACATCTAACCATGTCACTTGCCTGCTCAGTAAACTCCAGTGGTTCCCTATCACTTTTAGAATCAAATGTAAATTTTTTTGTTGATCTTTTAAAGCCTTTCACAACCATACCCCAGCCCATCTTTCCAGCCTCATTGTATATGACACCCCCTTCCCTCGTACTCTGCAATCTAGCCAAACTATGTCCTTCTCTCTGTGACTCACATGCAGTACTTCTATATTCTATTTCTACCCTTCTGCACTGGCTGCTCACATAACCTGGAGCGTACTCCCTCCTTACCAATTTCTGAAAATCCCTCTCTTCATTCAAGTTACAGCTCCAGTACCATCTTCTATATGAGGTCTCTTTTGATCCTGCTACCACCCCCTTTATTTCCCCCTCCATCCCCCACCAGGGCCCTTCCTCTTAAAAAGCATCATTTTATTTTTTCACTCAATAAAAATCCATCTTCTCTTTGTCCCTCCTATTCCCCCTGCCCCAAGGGGGCTTACTTAAGTTACTTAACTCTTCATCAGATTATAAAATTCTTCTCAAGTTTCTCTAGATCCTTCTTCTGGATTACCTTATATTGAACTGCTTCATATTTATCTATATTCTCTTTATGTTAATCCTATGTATAGTTTTATATCTCCTTGTCTCCCTGTTAGAAAGTAGTCTCTTTTTAGGTAAGGATGATTTCATTCATTGTACTTGAGTGTCCACCCCCTGGCATATAGTAGGTGCTTAATAAATACTTGTTGTTTGATTGAGTTTCCTCTTACCAGAAGTCTTCTAGTGAAGGCTGAATGGTGTGGTAGAGGGAATTCAGTGTGGGCTGGTCGAAAAAAATTGTGGGTCAGAGTATCATCTCCTGCTTATCTGTATAGCAAGTCACTTACAATTCTGTAAGCCTTGGTTTTCCCAATTAGGGGGTTGAAGTAAGATGAATGAGTCAGATTAGATGCTCTCTAGGGTCCCCTCCATCTTTAAATCTATAATTCTATGATTCTTGATCAGATACAAGTTGGACTTCTATAGTCTCTGAGGTTTCCCCCAGCTCCAAGATCCTGTGCCCAAGTGGGAATGAACTCTTGTTTTTTTTTTCTTTTTCTAACTCATCAAAGCCAAGTTCTCAAAGACTGAAATGTGTGTGAGAGTGCTTTGAAAAGTGTAAAGAACTTTGCCAAGTAAAGTCTGTGTTCTGTTTTAAACTCCAGGGAGGCAATTCGATGTGTAGAGAAAGACTTAAGCCACCTTGATATGAGAGAGCCATGTGTGCTGGTGGTCTGGTGTAGGGGACCGAGTGCTGAAAATGGTCGGCTCTGTTCCTTCCTTATTCTGTGACCTTGTAGATTCTCTGAGCCTTAATTCCCTCCTCTGTGAAATGTGCCTCATCATTCTTATGGTATATTAGGAATTCTGAGGAAAAGGAAACACAGCCTACATTTGGAAATTCTACCTTGTGATGCTTTATTGATAATAAAACTGACCTGCAATAAAAGCCTAGATACAGGGGCAGCTAGGTGATGCAGTAGATAGAGCACCCGCCCTGAAATCAGGAGGACCTGACTTCAAATCCAAACACTTGACACTTACTAACTGTGTGACCCTGGGCAAGTCACTTAACCCCAACTGCCTAAGCAAACAAACAAACAAACAAACAAACAAAAAACCATAGGTACAGTAAGGAGAGATACAGGTATAGGCCTATACCAAGACTTGGTCCATTGGCACCTTGAGGCTCAGCTTTGCCTTACTCCAGAGGGCTGGAACAGCACCTTGGGCTCTGCTCAGAAATGCAGACTGGTTGAAAGTGGGCCATGGAGTTGGAGCTGGCACCGTTTTATGCTCTCGAGTAGACAAAGGGAGCTGGCACTCTTTATAAAAGCATCTGTCTGAAGTGGAATTCCTGCATGTGTGTGAACATGCCAATCACAGGCTAATTAGCACAGACTTCAAGTTGTGAACTCTGAGACAGTCTTTGCCTTTCTCTGTATCCCCAGAGCTATGTGCGGTGCCTGGCACATAATAGGCACTTAAACCCTTGTGGACTTGAGCTGACATATTTAGGTTGGTACCTTATGGCCCCACTAGATGAGGCCACAGACATCTATGACTATTCCCATTGATATTTCCCCTCATGCCTTAGTACAGTGGCAGGGGTTTTGGGGTTGGGGTGAGGGGAGTAGAGGAGAGCTGAGCTTGACCAGCCTGCATCCATCATCCTGTGTCACTGGCTTATGATGAGATGCATGTGTTCATGCATGTCAGCTTTTGTTAAGCATTCACTATGTGCTTATTTTGCTTATCACCGAGGATATAGATGCCTACTGGGGAAAATAACATACCACAAATAAATATACTGTAAGGTATAGTGTAGGCTGGGGCAAAGAACAGCTCCAAACAGAGTACCTGAGGAAGATTTGAGTAAAGAAAAAGCCCTGAATTTGGAGTTAATTGACCCAGGTTTGAATCCTGGCTACTCATGTGACCTTAGATAAAGTACTCAGCATCTCTGGGCCTCAGTTTCTTCATCTGTAAAATGAGGAGGTTGAGATGGTGCAGTGGATAGAGCACTGGTCCTGGAGTCAGGAGGACCTGAGTTCACATCCAGCCTCACACACTTATTAGCTAGCTGTGTGACCCTGGGCAAGGCACTTAACCCCCATTGCTTCCGAAATAAAATATATATATATGTATATAAAACCTTAAAAAAATCTCATGGAAGTGAATGTTGAAAACTAAAAATAAGGGGCAGCTAGGTGGCACAGTGGATAGAGCATTGGCCCTGGATTTGGGAAGATCTGAGTTCAAATCCAGCCTCAAACATATAAC